AAAAACTAATATACCCCCAACAAATCAATACCTTTTTTCTTTTATAACATAGCAACATAACCTTTAAAACACTGATATCTCAACCCCCTCCAACCCTCCACCGAAAAAAAACCCTAGCTGCCAGTGGAACTACCGACAGCACTATTGTCACTTCCTGTTGACAATGGATGGACCGACCTCGTCGTACTCCTGCTTGCTGACCCACTTGTCCTTGAAGCTCGGTAGATTAGCCAGGATAGAGCCACCGAGCCACGCTGAGTATTTCCGGTCCTCTGGCGCTATGACCTTCACCTTCATCTCGGCAGGAGCTAGCGTGACGATCTCTGCCCTCAGTCGATCATGAAGGCCCTTGTAGAGGGTGGCGCCGCCTGCTAAAACTATATTGTTGTACAAGCTTTTCCACGTCTCCTCCTTACACCGCGAGATGGCGTTGTGAACCATTTGACTAAGGCCCTCAGTGACATAGCCAAGGAGTGACGGGTCGAACATAAGTTCAATGCACCTACAGCGCTCATCTGAGAGGTTCATAACGCTTCCGTCACTCAACGTGTAGCTTTTATGTAGCGTGGAAAATTCGGCTGCAGAATGAAGCTCTTGATTCAAGTCCAAAGCCACGTAGCATAACTTCTCTTTTATGTCATCAGCGACCAGCCTATCCGCCTCGGTGGTGAAACTGTAGCCGCGGTTGTTGAGCAAGCTCATGAGGTAGTCGGTGACGTCACGACCTGCCACCTCAGTCCTCGTAATGGCGTCAGTGATGACGCTGCCATCCACAATGGGAACTGCGTGCGTCACACTGCGACCAGACTTCAACACGGTTCCGGTGGTACGACCATCGGCGAACAGGGACAGGACAGCTGAGTTGGCCACGTATAAGGCGGGAATGTTAAAGGTTTCAAACATGATCTGCGCCATCTTCTCTCCGTCGGCTTTGGGGTTGAGCGGAGATTCTGTGAGAAGAAGAGGGTGTTCGTCCGGGGAAATACTGAGCTCTTTGTCGAAGATGTGATGCCAAATCGTCTCCATGTCGTCCCAGTTAACAATATGACCTTGATCAATGGGAGAGCTAAGGGCGAGGATTCCTCTCTTAGACAGGGCCTCCTTGCCAACAAAGTTGCCTTGGTTCTTAAAGACTTTAAGCCCCTGGGGACAGACACGGGAGAATATGCAATCATACAGGAGAGCACTGGCACTTTTCAAGACGTTTCTTTTTATTTTCTTTTTGCCCCATTGTGCGAACTGCATTCCGCCTCTCTCTCTCTCTCTCTCTCTCTCT